AAAAGGGTGGCTCCTCAAAGGAGACCCAAGGCCACAAAAGGAAGGAGAAAGATGGCTGTGCAGGATAAAATAGATCAACACTATACCACATTAGAAAGAACAAAGTTTATTTCCTAATCTTGCTCTGCCAATATCATTAGCTCTTACATTCAATTCAACATTCAACCCCTATGTTTACCACTGAATCTGAAGCCCATTAACACCATAAATGAAACTTATAATGAGTAATAACAGCTACATTCACCAAGTGTCACGCACTTTGGACCTGGATACTCTTTACACTCTTCGAGCACTTTACATACATCATTTCATTTCTCCCCTAACCTCAATTTACAGATAAGGAAACTGAAGTTCAAAGAGGTTAAGTATCTCACCCAAGATCACATGCTAGTAGGGAAGATAACTGAAATTCAAACTGAGATGCAACTCAGAAACCATGTTCTTAACCAAAACACAACACTGCCTCTTCTCAATAATGTTCTTACCTGAATCCCTGACTCACCGCTAAGCCAATGCCCTGAATTCCTTTGGACAGTGCCTGTCCTGAACCTTAACACATAGAAACTACCCTACTGCTGCTAACATCAGCTAGAATTACCTTTGACCAGGTGTAATTCTCTTTAATTCAAGAAAACATAGCACCTCACACTCACCAGGTGCTTTACAGCACTTGAAACAATAGACGTGAAGTCGCGGGTAGTGGGGAGCGGGCCCTCACCCACTCCCAGCCGCCAGGGGAAGGAACTGACTTCATCACTCATCTGGACAGCAGCAGCAGCCTGATTTCTGTTACTAAGCAGAAATGGTCTCATTAAAGAAAAATCCCATGTGTTTCTGCACACTGGAAACGTGCCAACAGACAGCTCAGTAGGAAATGTTTCCAAACAGCAGGCGCATTAATCAGAAAATGACAATCTCTACTGACAGAAATTGACAATTCTTTACAGGCAGAATGGAAGTGAGCAAACTTACTGATCCTGTTGCAAGGTAAAAAGTAATATAATTAATAATTTCTAATATTCCTGGGGAAAAGTTTTTTTTTAATTACATTTCTCAAGCAAGGAAATCAACAAACTGGATTTTACTTTTTGCCATTGTTGTTACTAGAAAACCAGAAAAGGATCCATCTTTTGGAAAAGCAAGAAAGTAAATGATTTTTCAGAATTACACAAAAACATAAACCCAAAGGCAGAGAAAAGTGGTAAGGTTTCTTCAAAGGGCACCCCAGCCCCTCCCACCTCAGAGCAGGGAGAAGACTCAGCGCACTCAGGCCAGGGCGCCAGCACGCCACCTCTGGCAGGACCCTTGTTCAGGATCGCTGACCCCTGAACAATGCAGGGCAGGAGGTGTGGGGGGCACAAAACCTCCCTGCAGTCAAAAATCCATGAATAATGTACAGCTGGCCTTCCACCTACATGGTTCCTCCATATCTGCAGCTCTGTGTCTGCCGGTTCAACCAACCACAGACCGTGTGCTTATTGTAAAAAAAAAAAAAAAAACCCTCTGTAAGTGCCCACACGCTGTTCAAACCCCTGTTGTTCAAAGGCCAACTGTACATAACAATCCTGAGAATGAGGGTCATAGTTAACTTCAAGACATCTCTCTGCTGGACTCCTAAATGAGTTCAAGTACTAAACACATTCCCCCTTCCTGTGCAACCTGTTTTTCAATCAAAGTATAGAAAGTGTTCAGAACCAGTTTCATTTTTGTTGACACAGTGTATTCATTTCAATTCAAACTCGTAAAAACAGTGAGTAAAGAGCTCAATACTAGAAATTAAAGGTCACGTCAAAAGGCAGAATGATCAGAAGCCCTTCTAGAGGACCCAAAGTGTGTGCTCTTCACCATCTTACAAATTAAAAGAAAAATTATCATCATTTGTGTTGATTAACACAAGCAGTATCCTAAATCTGACTCACACAGTACTCCAAATCTTCCCCCTCTTTCTAAAGACAAAAGAAGTGTCATTAGACTCCAAGATCACTTGTGCTTTTAAATTCCATATATTCCTTTGGTTTTTCTCCTATGAGTTCATCCTTTTCCCTGAGCACCCACACAGGAGTAAGTCCCAAAACACAGGCAGCAGACGAGACAAGCAGAGGGCTGGGAAGTCAGAAGCCCTGATCTCCAGATCCTGCTCTGTCCCCAAGCAAGAAGATCTTGAAGTCACCATTTAGTTTCCCCACTACCTTCCTCATCTGAAAATCAGGAACACTTGCTTCCTTCCTTCACAAGACGATTATGAGAATCAAATGAGGTCAGTGATCTGAAACACTCTCAAAGCTTCAAAATGCCATAAAAACGTTAGACACTGTTACTGCAGTTAATATATTCCTAGATGAAAAGGTGCCACGTATATATGGATCCTAGATTCACCATCTGTATGAACTAAGGCAGGCAGGCAGCACACAGAGAGAAATATTTTTCATGTGAAAGTTAATTGAAAATTTAACTAAATCTCAAGGAATGGAGAGAAACAAACGAACCTGTCCACAGACTGTTATAATTTATATTCACAATACCAGAAATGACTCTGTCTCAAAGTTAACACTCTATTTACATTTTTTAACTTTAGAAATATAAACTACATGAATCGTCCAAGTTCTATCACTTACCATCTAGGACCTGTAAATGGGGACAATAGTACCAACATGGTGGGACTGATGTGAGAACTGAGTCTATACTTGCAAAGCGCTTAGGACCACGCTGGTAAATGGTACCAGCTATGTGGACACTCACTCTACTGCGAAGCACTGGAGAACCAGTCAGGTCTGGGGTCAAACCACTGTTTCAGTCTCTACCAGATATGTGATTTCAGGCACAGATCTGCTCATCTGTATAATGAGGAAAATACTCGTACTAGAAAATACTAGAAAATGTTATGAGGATTAAAAAATACACATTTGAAGATTGAAAAGATATCTGCTACATCAGAAGTGCTCAGTCCACGGTGGTACTGACGACCTTGCTTAGAGTGACAATGTTCAACAGCGGTAGTACTTGTAACTTATGGAACACCACCTTATATTCTTTAATTTTCAGTGGTTTATTTAGGTCAAATACAGTTCTGAAGAGATAGCTGTACCAATCTTGGCAGTAGCAAAAAAAAAAAAAAGTATGTGATTTTAAAGTGGTAAATACAGGATCAAATTCTCACCCACAATCCCAAGCTTAATTCTGTTTCAGACTTCACACTGCCAAAATATTTTAAGGAGCCAGAAATATAATTACCTTTGAGAAGCATACAGTTTATTCCTTTACATTCAATTTTCTATAACCTCAACTCCCTACAAGGCTTCCATTGTCTCATCAATCCAGCATGCACTGTTCTTCCACTAAAACAAAGCCGTGCATTTCTAAACATTTGTTAGGATTTCCCAGCCTCTGTCAACACCATTTGGCACAAATTTGAATGAAAAATGAAAAGCTCTTCGAAAAGCTTTAAGAAGTCAAGACGTTTCTCTCATTTTTCATCCCCCCAACCCAAAAAAAGGGGAGGAAAGAAAGGAAAATTGGAAAAGATTTTCTTTTAAAAAAGTAGGAGGAAGGGTCAAAGAATAGAAAAAGATACTTTTACAAGCCGTTAAGGCGTTTTTCCGGGTCAATGGCTTGGAGGACTGTCCACTTCACCTGGGATTCTATTTGATTCCTCTTTGTCTTTGTGGCTTCACTTCACGGCACAGACAAATGTGTCATCACCTCCTTACGGGGAGGTTTGATTTTCAGTTCCTTGTGATTAATTTCATATGCTACCCTCCATCACCTTTTTAGACCTCAGGACAGTTAAATCACAGCTTGCCAGAGAAAAGAGGAATCTTCGAAACCATGTTCTTACACCCATTTCCTTTTGTACAGACCTCCAGAAGGGCAGGTGGTCTGATGACAGAGAAGACTGCTGATGTCCAGAAGACCACAAAGAGACCAAGAGAGAATCCACGGTTTCTTCCCTCTCCCTGGGCAGGGTGGCTTCCCCATACTTGGGGCATTTCAGCATCGAATTTCTTAACGTTTCTATTTCAGGCTTGTGCTATTTATTCCCATTGCAAGCGAATCAATCCATCGCTTGGTTTTTAGTTTATAATCAAAATATTGCATCCTAGATCAAATAAAATGTCATCTCAAACAGCCTTTTGATAAGATACTAGCACCTGAATGGCAAGAATAAGAGAAACTTCTCAGTATCTTTTAGGTTCCCTTCCCAGACAGTTATTTTCATACTACGATTGTTTCAGCAGGGGCTCCCTGACTGCCTGACTCTTTTACGGCTTATTAGACACAAGAAGGTTAGCTTCACGCCTAATCACTCCAAAACAAATGAATGTAACTTTTGAAAAGATGATTTCTATCCTTTCCTTTCCATCCTTTCGAAAAGATGTCACTCTATTATACACAAGTATTTGCTGTACATACAATAAGAGCAAACACTGAAACAATTTACATGTGACAAGTATCACTGACATCCAACAATCTAACACGTGTCTCCTGAAACCTAAGCAGCAGGGTTTGTTCAATAGTCTCAAACATTCCAGTGATTCGTGGCTTCTGCAAGTCACCCACCCAAGTGTCAGAAGAGGCAACAGAACATTCTCAACTTCCAAAAATTAGATGCCTTTCAGGTATGGAGAGGACTGGAGGGGAGGGAAGGAATACTGGTCCTCAGACATGTCAGCCCAACAAACTCTGAACGATAAAAAACAGTAGTCCTGCCCTCTGACATAACTAACAGGAGAAGTTAACTCTGCATAAAAGAGTCCCCTTATATTGCTTTAAATTAAAAAAATTAACATTCTAATCTCATGTGGACGTTTGTTGCTGCTATTGGTTTTTTGGGGGGGTTTTTTGGGGTTTTTTTTGGCCAAGCCACTCATACGTGAAATGTAATAACTACATAATACTGACACTGAGGCCACCTGAGTCACATGCCCACTTCAGTATAGGAAACAACAGTATTTGATAAAATGTTCTCCACTTAAAATACATAAAAAAGAAAATGTAATTACCTTTCCAAAATCACGAACATCAAACAGGTCAAACGCCTCGAAGAGTTCACTCTTTCTCATTCCAAATGTCTCGCAACAGGCCGTGAGGAATGTCCTTATGTTCTTCAAACAGAGAAACTGAGGAATGGGAAACAGCTGTTAGTACACGGTGACTCCTTCTGAACGCTACCTGTCCTCTGCCACACCCGCAGTGCCGGGAAGATGACGAGCAAGAGCCCACCGCTCTGGAGGCTGTTTTCCATGACTCCTTCCACTTTCCCGCACTGATGACCCACTCCCGCCCCAGCACCGGTGACTCGGCTGTGAACAAGGCAGACGAAGCCTGCCCTCGAGACACTCACGTTCTCCTAAGAGGCGGCAGACGAGAACAAGCTCAGCAACCAAAACAAACAAGGACATGTCTTCATTTTCACGTGGTGGTCGGTACAACAGAGAACAGTGAAGCCAGGAGGAGGGGTCCGGAGGGCCGGCGGGTGTGCAGCAGAGGGACTCCAACGGGATGGTGGGAGAAGGTGCCGGTGAGACGAGGACAGATAAGCAGAGATTCGAAGGTGGTGAAGGAGCAAGCCATGCAGAGTTACAGGACCAACCGCTCAGCTGAAAGCAGCACCCCGTGCCGGGGTCTCTAGCAGAAGTGTCTGAGGACGGGGCCATGCGGCCAGAGCAGAGCGGGTGACAAGGAGAAAGGTAGGAGGTGAGCCAGAAAGGTAATCAGGTCAGATGACGGAGAACCCTGTTGGACAGGCTTTTGCTCTGACTGCGATGGGAAGTCACTGGAGGGCTTGGCATGGAGTCGGGTTACCATCCCATGTTTTAAAAGGGTCTTTCAGGCTGCTCTCCCGACTCTAGACGGAAAGGGGCAGGAGCACGGACGGAGGCAGGAGAACCAGACAGGAGGCTCGTACAGTAACCTGGATGAGAGACAACCCTGGGAAGACGGGGCGTTCAATTGTGACCCTGTTAAACTTGAGATGCCCCATCATCCAATGGGACACAGGGCAGCAGACAACTGGATATAAGCCTGTACTCTAGACTTAAATTTCAGGGTCTTCAGAGTATACAAAACATTTTAAACTATGACATTGTTTGGGAGAGGGCGAGAGGAGGAGAGGACCTGGAGCCAAATACTCTTAGATCAGGAAAAGAGGAGGAGCCCACAAAGAGGCTGAGAAAAGAGGGACCAGGGCAGAAGGAGACCAACCAGGGGAACAGGTTTTCCCTGAAGCCAATTAAGAAGGTATTTCTAGGAAGAAGGAGTGATAAGTTGTGACAGCTGCTGCTGCTGCTGCTGCTCAAATAAGACAGTGGCCAAGTGCTGTCCGTGGAATCTGGCTGCGTGAAGGTCATGGGTGCACCTCGACAAAAGCAGATTCCATGTGGAGGATGGCGTTGGGGCACAAAGGCTGCGTGAAGCAGCTTCAGGAGACCACGGGAAGAGAGAAAGTCAAGTAGAATATAGACTCTTAGGAGTTTTGCTGCAAGAGGCTTGAGGAGGTAATCAGAGAGAGAGTTTTTTAACAAGGAAAGCTGTTACAACACGTTCCTGTTCTGACGGGAATAACTTGATAGAGAGAAAGATGGTCATGCAAGGAAGAGGGACAGTCACTTAAATAAAGTTCTTGAGTAGGCAAAGGGGAAGGGTCTGGTGCTCAGGCGGAGAAGCTGACCTTGGAGAACACACTCAGCTCACTGACACTAAAGGGTTAAGAGGGAAGGCAGATATTACAACTTAACCAACAGAATTGACTCACAGTATCTAAGACATAGAGCCACCTAAGCAAAGTACACACATGCTCTGACAGTGAATTTCAGAAGTATTAGCTACAATGGCACACATAAAAATAAAATTATTAACCTCTAATAAGTGAGAAACCAATTAGCTATTTATTCCATCTTCCCTTTTTTCTAAAGCACCGTCAACATTTTACTTTGTTGTTTTGTTTTCCATCTTGGTTTGTTTTTTAATTTGCAGAAAGCACATTTTACTTCCTCTGCTTTGGGAACATTCAGATTTTTCATGGGCTTAACTCAGATGCAGCTTTACCCTTTACAGGAATCATTCTTGGAGGCTTAAATATTTCAGGAGGGATTAAAACCACAGGGGAAGCATCATAAACCCTTTGAAGCACAAAGGCAGCAGCCAATCGCACATGCTGTTACTGCTTTCACTTTAAAAAATTCATAAGAGAACTTTACGACACAGAATCACTCTGCATGGAGCTCTTTCACATAGAATTGCTTATTTACAGATTAAAAGCCTTGCATTCTGCCAAGACAGACAATAATTACTCTCTTGGGGATTATGCAACAGCTCTCTTGCAATATTTTTTACATAATTAAGTGCCCAACTCATCGCTCACCAAGGAACAAAGCATAATTGCACATAAGATCTTGCACCAAACTCAAATTATCCCCCCATACAGGAAAAGCTACAGTAGACTTCCATCCAAGGGCTCTGATCACCAATTCAGAAAAGTTTTATTACTGAAAGGTAAAACATAAATATATATGAAATGTAGTCACTATTACATGTATTCAAGAGAAGACTGAAAAACAGGCCATCCCCTTACTTCTGGAATAAATCTTAACCTTATTTGCCCCCTTTACTAATCCAACTCTATTCAATTAATTTCACAAATATTTACTGGATTTGAAAAACATCGCTGGTGCGCTCTCACATTTCCAGACAATCAACAAGTTTGGTCATCCCTTTATTGGTGTGTTTTTTCAGTCAACAGCTTCTGACTGCCTACTGGGAATGCTAAAAATGGGTAAGACAGGTTCTGCCCCAGGCTTCTCTGTGAATCGTAGCTGGAGATTTTCATCGCTACCCCAAGTTTGGCTAATAACCCTAGGATCACACTTCCCTTGATGGTTTGGACCAAGTCCAGGAACAGAGATAAGGCATGGAGGAAGGGGGCCCTGATATCATTCCAGAAGCCCTGGGCCTGCCCACGCCAAGACTTTTGCTTTGTTTTCCTCATGTTCAACTTTCTTTTTCCAGTTTCTTTTATTTAAAAGAAAATTTCCAACCAAAAAAAAAGAGTTGGGAGAATAGTACCACATACACTCCATTTACTCAACAACTATAACTTACTACTGTATGTGCTTTTGTGTGGCAACCATCTCTCTATTTATTTATAAAAAAATTTTGCTGGAGCACGGGGAAGTAAGCTGCAGACATCGTGGCACTCCACTCCCAAATAACTCAACAGGCATCTCCTAAGAATAAGGATATTTTCCTATATGCCCGCAATACCACTAACACACCCGAGAAAATTAACAGTAATTCTATATTATCTAATATCCATCCCATATTCAGATTTCCTTGATTGCCCACCCAGCATCTTTTCCACTATCCCCTGCCCCACCCAATCGAGGATCCAATTCAGTTTCACCCATTACATTTGGTTGCTTTATCTTTGCAATTTCTTTTAATCTAAAAATACTGCTGCCTTTTTTTTTTTTTTCTAAATGACACCGACTGTTTGAAGAGTCTAGACCTGGGTATTTTATAGAATGTCCCACATTCTGCATTTGTCTGATTATTTCTTCCTGGTATTACTAATGTTCCTCCATTACTTGTATTTCCTATGAACCAAAGCTAAGTCTAGATGGAAGTTAAACAGAAAAGAGCAAAAATACTTTATACTGTGACCTTCCCATCTCATCATGCCAGAAGGCACAAAATGTTAGATTATCCCATTATTAATGACAGTAAGCTTGATCACCTGGTTAAGATGGTTATTGCCACATCTCTCTATTGTAAAGGAACATGTTCCCCTTTACATCAGCAAAGCCTGGGGATGATAATTTGTTACCATGTGGCTGTCCCATTTCCCAATAACTTCATGGATTTTGCCTCCACTGATAACCCTTGCTTCAATTGTTCCTTTCAGGGCTGTAGTATATTCTATCATTCCTTCCATATTTACTAGCTGGCATTCTTACCAAAAGAAGAGCTTCTGCTGCCCTCACCCCACCTTTTTTTTTCCTTCTCTCTGCTCAAGTTCTTTTGTCCAAACAGTTCCGTTTCAATTTATATGATAAACGGTATTTAGAAACCAAAGTCTGAGCACCAGGCTGCTCCCAGATTACAGGAGCCAGTTAAATCAACAGAACCAGTAACTCCACCCTTCACTTAAGCAATCCATCACTTGCAACAGAAACAGTTAATGCAAAAACAGTTAATGCAAATGGCCTAACTGATGAACTTCTCAGAAAATCCTATCGCTTTCTTTGCAGAATGCCTAATAATCCAAACCTTATCCCACTTTGCTAAGAAGGAGAGAACTTGAGCTCACTGAAGACTGATGAACACAAGTTTGTTTTATGCCTAGAGATATTACTGGTGTTTGGACACTGCATTATTTCAGTGCAAGTCTAAATTCTTAAAGGTTACAGCCATCTGACAGTCCTTTGTATCACCTGCAGTAGCTTACAACCTTCAGACCTGGTTTATGACTCTCAAAAACAATATACATCTCATTATTTCATAACAATAACTTATGTCTGACCAAAAGTTATACAACTTTGCTAAATCATCTTGTTTCTTTATAAGAGACAACTTTAAGATTTTTTTTTTTTTAGAATTTGGGATTAGGATTTTAGAAATCAGAATTGAATAATTTTAGGATTTTTAAAATAATAAATATATCCATACATGATAGTTACCAAAATCAAGGATATAAAAAAAAAGTCTAAATAGCATTTTCTCATTTAACAAGTATTAACAAGGTAACTGTTATGTACCAGGCATCATAAAACTTCATAAAACATCCCCTCATTGGGTACTGAGTTATTAACTTATTAAACAGAGGTTAAGTGGATAAAACTGCCAAGAACTGAGCATTTAAAAATGCAAATATGGCCCAAACTCTGCTCTCAAAAGGGATATCCTAGTCAGGCAGAGCATACAGAACACAATGCGAACACATGTGAACACAATGATGTGGCAACTGCTATAAGGAAGGCACTCAGGTTCCTCGAGAGCCCTGGAGTCTCAGAGACAGCCCTCCGGAGTGAGGAATAGATGGGACCCTGAAGGTTGGGCAGAGCCAGCTACAGAAGGAGGAGTGGCTGGTGTTCAGGGAAGGGAGAGGAAACTGCCAGACTCG